GTACATAATCGACTGCAAGACAATAAGAAGATTGCCGTGCTTATTCTTCCATGTATAAATGCATGAGTGCCCGATTATATTATCATTTACTTGATTCATTTTTAATTATTGTGTTATTGTAACTTTTAAATTATCTGATTAAACTTTTGTTCATCGTCAACTTTTTGCAAAAGATAGTAGCAAATCTAAACTATATAATCATAATAAAAAAATAAAGAGTATAAGAAATTGTCTTATATATTTCAAAGATAATGTTATCATCGTCGTTGTAATTATAAGAAATAATTATATAATTGTATTTCGCAATTATTTCAATGCATTTGTATGTAAATTGATACTTATTACGGTATATTATTTGCCATTTATTAATGTCACGTCACTCTTCTTCACGATCTTGGAGATCCCATTTCAATGTCCTTGTAGTTGTTTTTTTAACTTACTACTCAATCCACCACACGAACTGCACTCGAGATACATCGTTGCATGCATCATATTGATTGATCGCATGTAATGAACGAGCTCCGTGTACAGTATACACATGCAAGATGTTTCGTAAGAATCACGTCAAACTATAAGATCGTTTTTTCAAATATGAAAATTTCTCGTATTCAGGAAAAATTCTTTAATTCATAATTACAAAAGTAATTAACATTGTAAATTAATAATTTTCGCGTTAATTTAAAGTAAGTTTTCTTTCAACATCATTGTAATGTACGAGAGGGCTATACAATTTAATTCTAGTTAATACCCAAGATATTTAATATCGCAATATATCCAAGAGAGATCATTCATCAGACAATTCGCTGTTGAAGTTTGATCCGAATTTTAATCAAAATGTTCATCATACGTATACGAAATGTACAAACGATATTGAACCATCATTTGTCGGTACTATTCATCTTTTTCCTCTTGGGGGAAAAAAGGGCAAATCCAGGATCATCGGCGTTAAAGTGCAAGCTGGCTTCATTTCGCCGCGCATTCGTCATCGTTTTTCGCGCTGCCGCTGCTCATCCCTTTCGCTCAGGGACAGACAAATGGCTTTGTTTTCAAACTGCATTTCCGCGTAAGCGGACATTGATTACCGGCAGCTGAAAGAGTTAACTTTGTGCTTGAGAGATCGACATGCGTTATGTGTATGCAATACGTGCGTTTGCATCGTGATCCGAAGAGTATAATGTTATTTACGAGACATCGCGCGCGCGATTCTGATGTGACTTTGATTCGATCATAAGTTCTGTGGTAAATTCTTTTTATATAGAAAAAGAAAGAACCTTTGAAAACATCTTCACCTTTGGAATGCGTGTTATAATTTGCATCCTTTTTTTCTGTATTTTTTATTCTATAATTAAGTAATTTGTCTACAAGAAAACTAATATGAATATTAATCCTTACACACATACACAAATACGAAATCCTTATTTGTAAGAGAAAAAACTTTTTTTTTTTTCCCGGGAAAACAATACACGTTTTTTAATTTGTTTTAGAATATGTGAAATAAATAGATAAAATCTAGAGATCTTTATCAAGACTTGTGCCGTAACAAAAAAATTTAAACTCGACACAGTTCCCTAGTAATCTACATCGATGATAATGATGATAACTGAATAAACGTTACCGTTCATATTCCACCTTTAAACAAAGTTAAAATCAATAATTTTAACGACTAGATATAAACTATAATTATGCAAACACGTGATTAATTCCAATATTTAAACTTATATCAGATATTTACTCGTAGTTGCAAAAGCAATTTCGTGACATTGCGCTTCAGAACGATATATGATAATATCAGTCGCTCATGGCAGAGCATATGCGTGTAATTCGCATACGCAAATGTGTACCTTCATATCATTACGAAAGCCATTCAAGCAAGCAAGATTGCTTTGAAACAAAATTGATTTAAGCTTCTAGAAATAAATGCTTTATCTGTTTCTTAAATCGTCCTTTTTTTAAATAGCAGATTAAAATATACTAACTAACACGTTTAGCGAGATAAATTAATGCTTTATGATAAAAATGTAATTTATAATTTTCTCGGTACATTTTCGGTAAATTGAAAAATTTCGAAATATGAGTTTTACAATATATACAATTATATTTTTTAATTGTGTATTAATTTTACATAAAATTAAAAATTCAAAAAATGTTTGTGCCTTGTTATATTATCAAGCAAATTACTGCTAAAGAATGAATAATTTTATGTTGCTAAATAATTAATAGAAAATTATTAATGGAAGGAATGGAAACAGAAAGAAGACATTCTCAGAGAGAGAGGTCGGATCATATTGATCTTTGCAACATCTGTTATTTTCCTTATGAAGATGCCGCTATCTACGTTTCTCACAGAAATGTGACTGACAAAGAGACAAAATTAAAGGAACTGCCGAGCTTAGAATTTCCTGAGGGACGAAAAAGCGTAATTGCTCGATCTTCCGGCTCAGGGATAATCATTCTGCTTCAAACAGTAGCAAGAATAGATGGATTCCACCCCCAAAAAGTGTAATACACGTTCGATTCATTTATATAAAGAATAAAAGCTCTTCATATAAAAGAACTTTAAATTTTTTTCGAAGGAATAGAAATTCTATATTTTTCTCTCTCTCTCTCTCTATATATATATATATTTCGATAATCAATTGTGTAAAAATGTAAGAATCATATGTGTTAAGAAATTTAGTCCATATATATAGCCAGTCAAATAATGAAAATTTCGAGGGCATTGTATGAAATATTTAATGAGCTAATTAGCTCATAAACGAAAAACGATGCATTGCAAAAAGTTGGGGAAAAACGAACTTAGCGAAATTGCAAATCTATTTACATCGCTCGCAGTGAGAATTGGATTACTCGATGCGCATTTCTTATAATTGAAGAACGTTATTGATTTATAATCCGATACAGAAATATATCGAATATAAATGGAATAAAAAAACATGAAACGAATCACGCGGTCAAACTCAATCATATTGCATTAAAATAAATATGTGGCTATAGGAGATTTATTACGATTTTTCTTTATCTCAGATATGTTGTATTACTGTGACTGTACAAAATATCCTCTGTCTCTCATAGGAGATAAAATATAATTCTTTTTCGTATTACTAACTGTACAGCCGCGTTAATTTATCGCCACGTTACCCACAATAATCGATATACACTTAGCGCGACCACTGCGTCACGTTGTAATTGCCATTTTTAGAAATTCTGTTCCAGTTTGGCAAATTGGAGAGTTTGCGGATATCGATATACCGTGCTCGATTTTGTCTTTTCCGCTATACAGACACAACCGCGAAAAATTAATTCCGTTAGCTCGCACGAGCCACACGCTCGGCTGTAACTGATGAATGAAATCCGGGAATGGATCCGGGGTAATCGACCTTATTTCGCGTCACCCTCGTCCAGCGCAGCAGCCACGAATCCTCCTCGATCATACTCGTGTACCCCCTTTGCCTCCACGACCTTTCAACTAGTCTACATCCTCCCTTCCGCAACGCAGCCATTTCCACCATTGCCGTGAGGCTGTATGTACCAACACAGTCCGCCGCACCACTGACGTAACTCTTCTGACGTCACACGTGGAGCTAGCACGGCGCACGCTATCCCTGCATTCCCCACAACGAGGACAATGTCCTTTGTTTCGCTTCCTCTTGCGGGAGTTTCTCATCTCTTTTCTTTGCGCTCCTATTGACATATCGATGTTTGCCAACAATGTTTATTTACTGCAATTTTTGATAATCGAGAAAACGCGCTATTAAGGATACTATTGAACGGTGCAGAAAAATACTCTTACAAGAGATTGACGGCATGTAAATTCACATATATTCGACATGTTAATTATACCGTCAAAATCAAGTAGTTACAACAAGATGCTTGTTTTGCGAAATATCTCACGCATCATCTACTATTTTTGAGGAAATTATTTCTAATTACTGTCGCATTAAAATGATATGACACAATCATGTTGATTCATATTTAATCTTTCATTAAGTTAAGAGTAAATAAATGAGTATTTGAAATTCAAACTTAACGACAAGTTATAAAATAAATTTATCACTTATTAGAATAAAATTCTACAGCAGTTGCAATTTCACAAATGTAGTTTTGTTCTCAATTTCTAGTAGCACATTATTCGCATGACGATAGAACTACAAAAACGCGAAAAGTTTAATCGGTTGTCCTCTGTATATCGCTCGTTACTTCCCACGCCTTTGTATTTCTTTTACGCTCCATAAATTTGCGGTAACCGAAATCGGTATCCTTTATCTCTCTCTCTCTCTCTCTCTCTCTCTCTTTCTCTCTCGTTATCGCGATCTCGTTTCAGTTACTGAACACATACCCGCTGCAACTTTGTTGCACAAAAAAGTGCACAATAAGTGGAATAGCGAGATTACCAAGTTTCTTTTTCTTTGTCAAATCGCGAGTTAAATGCTGTAACTTTCTCGCGGAATTTGGGGCATTTATTAATCATATCGCGGAAGATATTAAATTCCTCGGAAAAATTACATCGTCGATCGTCAAAGCAATCGTTAATTTGCCTTTTCCTCGAATAAAAAAAGGGTCGAAGAAAATAACATTCCATTCGAGTAAAATAATTATTAGTCACACATTGTTTTAAAAGATTTGCTATTTCTTCTTATACTTTTCGCTTTCTGAATCGCAAATATAAAAAAGGTTTCTATAATTCTTTTTGGCAACATTCCGACAAAATTTGATCGCGGTTTTAATTCATCAGTGTGCTATTACTTCTGTATACAGTGCTTAACTTGTGGTACCCAAGTTCAGATTGAATTTCATCTCAGATTGAATTACTACTACTCCTGAGCTTATAGCCTATCTTCTTTATTCCTCTTTCTGCCGTCCTTCAATATTCCATCCTTGAATTTAATATTCAACTTCTATCAGTTCATTCAGTAATTGTTTCGCTATATTGATTCAATGTATATTTTTTCGCTTCTTTATATTTTACCATATAAATTTATTAAGTCTCATTTTCTTTTTAGGTGAAGAACTGTGGATTGGTGTAATAAAACCTCGGCCCCAGGAGTAGCCCGGGGGTTACCCCGGGGACCTTGGGGAAGCGATCGCGCGAGGACGAAGTGGCTGAGACCGACGAAGGATACGGGAGGCGGAGGAGGAGGCCGCTATGAACGCCAGCGTTAACGTCGAGAGGAACTCCTGGCGGCTGCCTCCCGATGAGACCGTCCAGGTCGCCGATCCCCGTTCAAAGTCAGCCCAGGTAAAAGAGGTAAATCGCTCAACCGGCTCAATAAGTGGTCCCTTTCCCAATCGTCGAGTATTTCTTTCGTGGACTACATATACGATCAGGTTTAAATGCATGTACATGTATGTTTGATAAAAGTCAATTTCGCGTTAATGCAGTACCGGTTATTAATTTACAAACATTTACAAATTTATTTAAAGATAATTTCGATAGAAAAAAAAAAGGAATTAAATATCTCGCATTGTGTGTTAATATTTCGAGATATTATCTCTTATGCTAAATTTAAAAAAAAAAACGTAGATAAAAATTGAATGTTGATGTTAGTAATTATCGATGTACTAGACTGTTTAGTACATAACATAATAGATTTGTGTGAATGCGTAAAATCAGGTTCCCTGTGATAAATTTTTCATAGATCCAAGTAGTTTTATGAAATGTGATAGTTCCATTTATAAATATAATGTGTTTTCAATATAGAAATGTAATAGATGTTCAAGTGTGGACATATATATGTTGCATTTGGTTTGATAATCACAAACATCTACTAGAAGATAAGGTTCTTCAGGATAACGTTCGGCGTAGAAATCTAATAAGTGTTAATAATGTACATAATATGTTGCAATTATGTATAACGTCTTTATACGATAATACTAGGTTTGAATGTAGGGTCATACGATGATTAAGTCATTCGCGCACATACCCGCAGGTGTAGCAGAATTATTCACGTTGAGCATCGATAGCTGTATTAGCGACCACTCAGCATAATAGTTGAAATGGCGTAATTACGTCGTGTACAAACTATGCGCGGTATTACTCGATATAAGGAATATCGTGCGACACAGCAAGAATAAACACTAGATATTTACGCTGCAAGATTTCTGTAAATTCAATTTTTTTTTTTTTTTATAACAAGTTTAGCTTTCTTACCATCTTTTCGTAGAAAAAAATCGTCCAAAAGAACACTTTATAAAAGAGCCAATTCTCTCTCTCTCCCTCTCTCTCTTTACAATTATCCTGAATATATTCATATAATGATTGAATAACCACCAATCGATATTTGGACTTTAAATTATGAACGATCGTGTTGAAGAAGACGTCAATTATGTTTGTCTATAATGAAATGCGAAGAAATATCTTGACGAGCGTTTAAATAAATGGCAAAGTCTCATTAATTTGACGTCAACGTTTCTACGAGCATGTAAAAACATGGCATGTAATAACGCACGTAAACTCAGCCATTCGGAATAACAGAATGATAATTAATAATAGAGTGTGCGGTCATTAATTTAGCGGTTATTAGACTGATACAAGTGATATTTTACCTTGTGTAGTGAATTGTGTTATAAAGCCGCGAAAAATTTGCACGTGTGTCTCTTCAAAGCACACACACATATACCCACTCTCTTCTTTCTCTCTCTTTTTCTCTATTTCATTAAAATACTTTCTTTATCCGTCAGACGGTTTTTTCATTCACGTTTATGAGCACTTAAGAGTCTCAGGAAAATGTTAAAGTTTCTTCTGCTCTTCTTTACCTTCGCGTTAACACGCGCAAAAAGTATATATAGTTTAATTATATTTAAATTTATCAGCCATTCTCTTAAAGTTGAGCGAAGTTGATAATCCGACAATTTTCATGAAAAGACTTTTTATACTCGTTGAAACCAGCAAAATATAAACGCGGAAACCGCTTTTAACTCGTGACATACTTTCATTTATATCAAAATCATTTTTGCATTTTATTTATTCTTAATCAGAAACAAAAGAAGTCAATTTAATTAATGACGTAACTGATTTTAATTGATTCTTCGACAATTTTTTAATAGGAAACTGCACATCGCGTAATCGATCAGTCTGTCGCTTTTGTTTTGTATGTGATTTTTGTAGAATTCAGTCGATACATACAAGCGTAAACAAATTTATCACTCGCCATGTCAGCGAGCGAAAAATAGGAAGACAGAACTGACGAGAACAAGGAGCGCACATGGCAACAGAGGTAGAGGGATTCCGACGACAGAATCGGGAAACTCCTGTTAGCTAACAACATACACAAACATAGAGTAACTTGATTATTGGATTACCTGATAACACGCGCCACGAATCCGTAGCTAACGAGTGAGAAGGATGGGAAATGAAAGCGACAGCGGCGGCTATATTTTACCCTTTTGATATGCATGTGCACGTATACACCCACATACATACATACATACAAAAGAAAGCATACCTGGCAAACTCTTAGCAAAGCCGTTGCCGCAAAATGTCAGCAATGCTATTTTATTTATTCTCGCTCATCCTAGCGAGTGGCCGCCGCTATCTGCTCGGGTGTGATATTGGCTCTTGGACTGTCACAGAGACCTTCAATGAATTTTCAACAAACGTTACTCTCCGAGTTAAACGTCACTCGACTCTTGATTAAAGACACTTTGACCAACGTACCAAAACATTTTGCGATTAATGGCGGTATTTATCCTTTCGGTGATACCCTAACTACTATGTAACGTTCCGCGTATATTAATGCGTGCGTTGTCATTCTAAAGGAAGGATAATGTAAATTTTCAACGATAAATGCGGAAACGAGTTTCGCATAAAATATTTAAAATACGCTCGGTGTTCACTTTAATTTGAACGGACGCCCGTGGTGGGAAACTATTACACCCATTACACCCCTGAGGAAAACCGCCGCATTGAAACTGGCTGTAGTTTCGTAAGTAACGACGCACACACTACTTCCTGAACCCGTTATTGTATCGCAGCCAACCATGTAGAGAAATCCTCAGTTTGATTTCCGTTCGTAGTTGCCGTTTCTCAGACTGCGGTTACATCTAAAACCGCTTTGCCTCATTTATCATTACGTCGAAACTTTCGCGTAATTATTTCCAACTAGATACATGCATTATGTATAATTAACGTCCGTTTTACAGACATTTGATAAGTTTTGAGATAAATTCTTTTCGTTCTCGCTATTCTCCCAATCGTATCGGAGCGATGCACGGTATTGTATAAACCTATAAACTATTGATACGAAGGAATTTTGCTGCTCTAAAAGCAATTGAACGGTGCGGCTTGTTTATGCTCGATTATCGGCCCTTTTGCCCGACTGATTCCGTGACCCCGAGAGAGTAGTAGGTGGGCAGCGTACATGTCACCTATTTGAACTTCCTGTCCGAGTAAAGCAAAAAGAGCGAAATGACGGAGGTGTCTTCTCCTGCTTTCAAAAAAATCTCATATACGATTAGTCGAACGCTGTTAGTCCCAGAGAACGGATAAATTGTCGGGTTCGCATAAAAAAGCTCGCATAAACGAGCAATTTAATCTGCGGAATTACGTTCGCCGATCGGCATTGCTCGGGCGTTATCGCATCATCGATCATTTCTCGCGAAGCGCAAATCGATCGCAAGTGACATTAGTCGTCGCCGAGCAGCTATGCGATATTTCGACACGTGGTGCAATGACGCATGTGGATATGAGCGTGCGCGCACGACCGTTTACTATTTTAAATATATATGTATATATTAGTGCATATTACACACACATATATATATATATATATATATATAAAGAAAGGATATATACAAAGAGAAGGAGAGTTGTGAAATGTGGGCGGCAATAGGCTGAAATACTCTTGGCAGAAAGACGCTCAGCAGTCCGGTCAGCGCATCTGTGTCTCCTCAACGGATGAATTAATTATTGAGTGAATTAGTGTCGAGTGAAACATATTTGTGCCGCCGTGAATTCAAAATAATGACAATGATCGATAATTGTCTGTGACGAAATCAATCGATTTTGTTTTCGCGACGGGCGGAAAAACAAGAAGAAGCAGTCATGGCTAACATCTCCACTAATCTCTCGGAAGATAAGCGCAATCAGCTTTATCACTTTTAAAACTCAGGCTTTACTCGACAATTTAGTTATTGCCCCGCTGTGTATTGTGCAATTTTCTCTATCATTACAATTTTGTTTTTATAGTATTTTTGTATTCAGTTGAAGCAAATCTCATAAACAATTCCTTACACGCTCACATACATAAAATTTGCAATAGCTTTCACGCTATCGAATTTATAAAGGACGTATTTAAAAGTATATTTTAAATATTCTCCAACAGAATAATAAACATGCGGAGAATTTTAGCTATATAGAAACGATGTGGTATTTGGCACTGATCGAGCTTCCCGCGATGTCCCAATTTTTTCACTTTTACGACCGTCTCCTAATAACTGCGTTGTTACGTGCCAATTGCTTGCCGCAAAATTTTCAACTTATCGACTATTAATGACATTGTTACAGCAATATGATAAATTGTCAATTGTTAATGATATTTTATCAAAATTGTACAATTTTATATAAAATTATACGCGACAATTCGCATGTAAATGCACGGTTTTATTTGAAACGTCGTCGCGAAACGGTAGCCAACGATAATATCGTATAGCATTATCGAAGCTGTAACAGTAATAACGATCACATTCCATGTGTACCTACCTAGCTATCCAATGACAAAGATCCGGAACGATAAAATCACGCCGAGGCATATTAAATTTTCAGAGATGCCTTGGTTCATCGTAACTGATCATACGGATCTTACGACAAATATTGAAAAAGACCGAAAGAATTTACGCCATTTGATCATCGGCAACTAGAGATTGTCAAAATTTCGTTATTGCCATTGACAGCTTATCGCCGGAAGAAGGAAGCAAACATTATTGTTTGATCGCGTCGACGATGATACTGTACACTCATATAAATATATGTTTTATGAATATAAAAGGATAAAAACTTACAATAAAGAGGATAAAAAATGTGTCATTAAAATTTTATAATTTGCAAAAACAAATCTGTACGTTTCTCGTGTAATAAAATTATGATAAAGAAAAACGAAAATGTTGTGACCGCAAACATGTGCAGCGATAAATGGATTAGTTCGATGTATTCGTATGTGACAACATTATTTATCGTACTGTTGCACTACACATCACGGTGGAATACCCGAAAATTGTCATGTCGAATTATTGCGCGATCATTCCATAGATATTTCCTTTGAATTAATCCCAGTTGTATTCGGCTTGTCTAGTTATATTCGATATGCATAAGCGAATACATTTTGTCTAACAAACTATCTTGAATGTTTGCTAATTCATCGCAACAGAGACGTATTGTACGATAACGAATTAATTGCGCATACATATAATAGTTTATTTAATATTTTTGAAAATTTCTGTGCGTGTCTCTTTTACACGGGAAAGTGCGTATGAAAATCATATGTGTCATAAAAATTAAATGCATATTTTCATTTACGCAGTATTGTCGTATGAAACGGCGTGAATCTTTGTAAAATACGCAATGTAGATATCACCTCGCGAAGTCTAATGTTTCGAGGGGAATTTATAGACACTCTATATAACTCTGCATGCTGCTATGCACTTTGAATGCAAAGCAGCGACAAATCGATCGAGAGAACAGAAAGAAAGAAAGAAAGAATGAGTAAAAGTATTTCAAAGACATTTGCCGAAGAAATAGCGAATCATTCGAACAAGAGATCGACAATTATTTATCCGGATAAACAGGTCGTCCAAAAACGATTACCGTGGCATAACGGCAGCCAATCGGCGCGGTAGTCGATCGTTTATCCAGTTGTATAAAGTAAAGTCATTATCGACGATAGATATCCGAGAGAAGACGGAAGATTATTTTAAACTATATTTCAGACTGAAAATTCGCTTGCCTTGCTTTGCCGATGATAGCTGAGGCAATCGAAGATAGTTTCCCAAGCGTGATGCTACCGATGATAAAATGTATAATTGTGTACTAAACGCGCGACTATTATTATTTTACAATATTAAATCAATTAGACAAAAATACTTCAACATGATTTAATTATTTAATGAGGTAATCAAGCATTATCTTTTTATTCTCATTCGAAAGATCATATTTGGTTGATTAAAAGTTAAAAATAGTCTCATCGAGTAATATGATAAATGATGTTTCATGTTTATCTAAAGCGAGTTTGCGTGCATTCAGAAACGCGAGATTATTCTAACAGGTAAGGTGTATGTATAATGATCCGTACGCGTTATATAGCTCACGTAATACGAAATCTGGTGCGTAACTCTCATTTACACGGCCTGAACGTGTTATTCGGCCCGATAACCGGTGGACAAGAAAGCGACTGTGTAAACGCATAACTCGTATGCAATATGCATAACGCAACCGGTGACGTATTTCATGAAAGCGAACAAAAACCGCGATATTCTGGACGGCGGCGCGATCGAACTTCGCGACCCCAAAAGCGTTTTTACAATCTACGAGAATAAAGTTCCTGTAATGTCCAACATTGTATTTTCGCTAGGCTGCAAGGACAATTTCAAACTGAATAAATAACTGTGCCGCATTAATTTTTTAATTGATTTATGATTGTTTAGGATAGTTTGATAATAGGCTGCGATAAACATTTTTATCGCCGATAATACTCATAATTCGCAAAATGTTGACACGTGGAGTATGCATTAATATGCGCAAATTGTATATCGGGACTATATATATATATATTATATCAGCAATTTTGTCGCAAAGGATAATTCACTCAGAATCGTTATCATTCGCGATATTTCTTACAATCTAATAAAATTCCGGGCAAATTTCGCAAACAAAAGAAAGATCTGATCGAATATAAATAATTTAAAAAAAAAGAAAAAATTTTTGTCGATACGGAAAAGAATCATGCGCGGGAGAAAAAAAAAAACGGAATCAATTTTCATTCCGGAAATTGTGATCCACGCGATAAAAGCACAAAATTTCGTTAGTAAAGGAAAAAAATCTTTGCATTCTAGCCAAACCAGCAGTTATCAGAACTTTGACGTGCGTTTTCTTGCAAGGTCTGTAATATATTGAATTCTAGAGCAAGTAGCATTATGTACATACTACCAAGTAGTTGCTGTCGTTGCTGATTAACAAAAAAACTATGCAACACAACGATCCAACTTTATGATGAAAGAAGTATATATATCTCTCCTTTCTCTTTCTCTCTCGTAATGTAAAACGAGCAAACGCAGAAAAAGCACCAGTATACATTTCTCCTAGAGTTATATAAATATAATTTACGATAATAAATAATACTGTACAATATATACATAATATCGCATACAACACCCTCAATATTCGGAGAATATGTATAAAATATTTATATGTGTATGTGTTAAAATATCTTGAGTCTAGTATGTATAATTCGTTAATTAAATATTTTCGCACTTTTTTTCGTGATATATGTAGCGGAAAATGCAGTGTATGATGATATTATAGATGTATAGTCTTCTGATCTTGATCGTTAGTTTTTCATCAATGTGTTGAACTCTCCTAATTATTCTCCAAAATCTCTCCGTATTCGTGACCTGCATGCTCTTATACCAGCTTCTGCATTATAATTCATCGATCGATCTCATCGGTCGACTGATAATTATATAGGAGGATGCCTTCTTCCACAGGATTTAACGTATGGGGAGGGCGGTCACAATTGGCGGAGTATAATTTTCTCACTGCTGGTCATCGGCTTCGTTATCGCTGGCATCGTCACGGCAATTTATCTCCTCGGGTGAGTTTATGATATCTCTTTCTTTTATATTTTAATTTTCATATACCTATCGTATACCGCTGTTCTAAACGAGTCTGACAATATATACATAACAAAATACGATATTAGAAAACTGTTTATCAAAACTAGCCAAATAATTCTTTCAATCAGATTATTATAAATAATTGATAAATTGCTTTACCAATAAATTTGTTTTGACAATTACAAGATTTTCACACATTGTATTTATTATTTTGTTGTGCTTCTTGGCAATATGTTCAAAATTTAGATTACACTCATTTTATTAATTTTCTTAAACTTTCTTATATTATCCATATATGTTTAACAATTTGAGATATATAATTATTCATCAATAAAATTACAGATACGTTGATGAGCTCTTGTATTGGAGCGGCAGGCGTCTTACGTTAGACGAGTGCCTTCGTGATGACCTGACACCACACAGGTTACCACCGACCTGGATATCTCATGAAAAGTTCGTCTATCAAGCTGACGATGGTTCCCTTACTCTTTTGGACACTCGCAACAATATCGTGACCCTTTTAGTCTCTAATCATACGCTTGTACGTAATATATATATATAAATGCAGTCTGCTAGCATAGTTTTTGAACTTGAATTACATAATGACAACCAAGAGATCCAATAAAAATTGCAACAAAATTTTTCGCAAATCAGAGGCTTTAAAAATGTAAACTGTATAAAGGCAAATAAACAGCTTTTATAAACGAGTTAATGACCAAAAGACGAATTCTTTGTAGCACTGATTTGCTATACATCTTCCCAGATCAAATTATTATATCAAATTTTTTTAATGACATATAGTTAATAATTTTAAAAAGAAAAACGATGTATAAAAATATTAAAAAAAAAGCAATTTTATGGCTCAAACAATCAGAAGAATTATTTATAAAAGGAAGATATTTTTTTGTTGCAGTTCGTAGTTTTTGAATCTCTATCCTTAAGTAACTTTAATTTCCCGATTCTATTTTTATATTTTTTTTTTAGAGACAACTAAATGTTCAAGGCTATGAGTGCAGCTCTGATCTACGTTATGTATTGTTCAGGCACAATGTCAAACCGGTAAGTGGCTTAAACGCAGAAGCTTCTCGGGCAAAGTTTTTCGGGCGGCAGCTGCATTCTAACTTTACGATCTGTGGCTTATCGGTAATGTTCAGACATGTAATACGATGCAGTGCAGTTTAGTTGCAGTTAACAGTCGATTACCGCTATCGAGAAAACATTGATCCTTTGCACTATAAACTTTTCCGATTATGCATTTTATATTTTATATGGTACAAATGGGTAATTTATTATGCAGGTCTTTCGGAACACTTTCACTGCTTATTATACCGTCTACGACGTCACAAACGAGTAAGTGCATATAATGATTCATATATATGAAATATTGTTTATAATTTTATCAAACTTTTTTTTTTAAAGAGAGAGAGAGAGAGAGAGAGAGAGAAATTCAATATATATATACATAGAAAGATAATAAAAAATATATAAGTATATAAAAATATTACTGTTCTATCTGCTTAATTGCCTATTTAAAAAGTGATTGATCATTTTAAATACAAGTCCCATTGTATATTAAGCTTGTTATTACTGATCAATGGATCATTGATACATTTCTTTAAATTGTTTTGGCATCATCGTAAATCATATAAACTTTATGTAATAATATAAGTAAAATTACAAGAAAATTGAATTTAGCAATTGGGATAAGCAGTGATAGAACAATTTTTAAAATAAAGTTAGATAGAATATGTATGTTTATTCAAATCTTATTATATATATACTATTTTTGCGTGTTTAATCTTTAAAATTATATTTATATTTTAAAAACGTACTAGTATAATTAAAATCTTTGCATACAGTTAATATTATGCATTCGTTTTTATGATTCTCCGCCTAATAGCCATCATACACCACTTCAGTTGCAAGCATCGCGACGTACGCAACAAACGCGACTGCAATATGCCATTTGGTTGGGCAACACATCCAGTCTCCTCATGATCTCCGAAAACGACATTTATCTTAGAATGGGGCCTGCGACGGAGGATATTCGTCTGACCGATACAGGCATACCCGGAGTGATTTACAACGGCGTGCCCGACTGGTTGTATCAGGAAGAAGTATTACCGAAACCGCAAGCGATATGGCCCAGTCCAGACGGTTCGCATATTCTTTACGCCACATTTAACGACACCAGAGTGAGCGTGTTGGAGTTTCCTTGGTTCGGTACGCAGTTAGGTCAAGACGGAACCGGTTCGAGTTCTCTCGGCGCATCCAAATCCTTCCCGCCTTCCAGATCAATTAGATATCCGAGACCAGGTTCACCTAATCCAGAGATCGAACTATGGATTATGGATCTGGGGAATGTGAGCTTGACGAATTACAGTAGCATCGGAAACGTCACATTGCCAGCGAAAACGAAACTGAAGCCACCGCCGTCCTTAAACGGACAGTACGTTAAATTATCGTAAAGTTTCTTATGTTAATTGCTCAATAAATTAATTAAATGTTGACTCTTATTAAATTTATTTAGAATAAACATTTAATTAATTTATCGAGCAATATATATAACAAAATGTAAATTGTAATTCGGTATACTGACGAAATCCGTTTTTGGGAAATATTTTCAGAGATAATTATTTGATATCAGCCGGTTGGGTCGGCGATGACGCTTCGCAGATCGCTGTCGTCTGGATGACAAGAATGCAAAATTTGTCGTTGGTATCGGCCTGTCGTGCTCCAACGTGGGAATGCGAAGAGACTCACTCGGAGAGAGCGCCCGAAGGGCAGTGGCTAGATGCTCAACCACATCCTCTCTTTGCTCCGGATGGCGACAGCTTTTTGTTGCTGGCCACAGTACAGGAAGGCGACAAGGAGCATTTCACGCATATAAAGCACATCACACTCACGCAGCAGAGAATAGCGGTACTCTCGCACGGTCCTTACGAGGTGAGCAACTTTTGAGATCGACGCAACGAGAGTATATTATAAAGATGTACATAAGAGTATATAAAAATTTAATCAGAAACCTCCTCCAAAAAAATAAAATTTAAAAAAAATTAAAAAACAGGTAAGCGAGATCTTAGCGTGGGACACCAAGAAACATCTCGTATACTATCTAGGTACCAGAGAGAGAACACCTGGCCAGAGACATCTTTACGTGGTACGAGATCCCACTGCGGAAGATCCTCGTCATTTCGAGCCATTGTGCGTCACGTGTGATCTTGGCGAAGTTCTTTGGAGCAGTAGGCAAGTTTGATTCCTTTATTCCGCAAAAAATACGACGTATCAAATCGATATAATCGATCGTGCATGTTAAAATGAATAAATTTATTGCAGGTTTTATTACACGAATTGCACGCATTTCGGTGCTTCTGTTAGTCCATCAGTGGACGACGATGGACAAGGTTACTACGTACTGTATTGCGAGGGTCCCGGCCTTCCTCTCGCTGCCGTGCACATGACGTCGTCGCACAAAATGGTCCGTGTGCTATACGACACGAGTATCCAACGCGCGGGCAAGCTGTCAGCACTGGCACTGCCTACCAGGAGAAACTTTGAGGTGGATATTTGCCTTGAGTTCAATCATTATCGATTTTATTTCTATATATCTTATATTACAATTTGGGAAATAATCGACAGGTGCCATTACCTCAAGGCTGGCGAGCGCAGGTGCAACTGTTGCTACCTCCGTCATGGCGGGAGGAGCTCAGGGATGCGGCGTTCCCCGTGCTCGTTGAAGTAAACGGCCGTCCCGGTAGCGAGGCGGTCACGGACAAATTCCGGATAGATTGGGGAACGTATATGTCGAGTCATAATGACATTGTCTATGTGAGACTGGACGTACGCGGCGCTCGAGGTCAAGGAAAGAAGGATCTGTTCAGAAAGATAGGCGGTGTCGAGGTACAGGATCAGCTTACCGTGTTGAAGCATCTCTTAAAGACGCACAAGTATCTCGACGAAACTAGAGTCGGCGTCTGGGGATGGGGCTATGGTGGATACGTGACCGCTATGGTGCTCGGCAATCAGGATAATGTTTTCAAATGTGGCGTTGCGGTAAATCCAATCGCCGATTGGATGTACTACAGTACGTGAATATCTCATATATAAAGAGCGTTTGAATTAGCTTTATCGGAATATCTCCGTTGCATGCGTGCGCGCTTTTGATACTTCAATTAAAAAATTATTTGTCAAATTTATCTCTTTTTCTTTTTTCGAGATTTAGTCTCATGTTTACGGCACTGTTTATTTATTTATTTTTTTTTTCTTTAATAAAATGACTTTTTATTAGCATATCTAGAAAATGCAATAATCTATATAAACATCTTATAATTAAAAATTATAATTTGTTAAATAAATGTTGCGCTAACCATAAATATTTGTGCTCTCAAATGAAGCAATTTTCTTGCTTGATTTGAGAAGTATATCGTCATATTGCTAATCGCTTTCTTTAATTACAGATTCTGCATTTACGGAACGAGTCCTCGGTGCTCCAGCTGAGAATTACAAGGGTTACGTAGAAGCTGATCTCACGCAACGAGCGAGATTAGTACCTAGTCACAGCCTTTACCTCCTTCATGGTCTAGCTGACCTCACTGCGCCTTACACGCACGGCGTTGCCTTCGCTAAGGCTTTGTCCGAAGCGGGAGTCATCTTTAGATATCAGGTAAAAGAAAGAAATACAGAATATTTCCATACAATATAATTATCGCTCAATTTAATTATTGCTTCTTTGGAAAACAGAGTTACGCGGACGAAGATCACGCCCTGACGGGTGTGCTCGAACACGCTTATCGTTCCATGGAGGACTTCCTCGCCGTGTGCCTCGCCCTGGATGCCTCCTAGTGCCTCAAGCCGAAAAATTCTTTGTTGTCTCTAGTGCGCCTACTTCCGATACATCTAAAACGAACGTTGAAACAAAGACTTGCCCTCGAAATCACGGCAATTACACTCGTGAGCAGGATGATATCCTGAAAACTCGTTTAAAGCCTGAATCGCGAAATAAATCAGGCTGCTAATTGAAAACGTGACAAAGCGGGAAAAGCAGAAACGCGGTCGTTTATCTGAGAGAATTAAGACAAAATGAAGAAAGAACTCGCGTATATGCGAATTTGTACGAAAGAAAGATGGAGATTGATTTCATTCACGGATTAAGAAAAAAGTGGCATTTGTACGAGCAATATCGTTATAAGGTGTGTATTTCATTCATCTAGATATTTCTCTTGGAGAATTCATCAATTTTTCTCTCGTGCAGTCTTTAGTGATATATACATCACCGTCGTGAGGGAATTCAGAAATCTTGAAAGAGATTTGACGAAAACGAGAAACGATGAATCCTCTTTTCTGCTTGGCAGTATTTTTGTATATTATCGAACGACATCTCTCGCGCTTTCCACGTGGATTCGATATTCGATAGTTCCGTAATTCGTCGGATAATGTGAATTGTGCAGTATACAGGATATTGTGAGATTTGCAGTTTCCCGCGAGCGATTTGTTCGATAATAGCGTATCGTCGTACTGAAAGGACAAACGCGCGTATTTGCCGTGAAATCGATTTTGGGTAAATTTCGAAAAGCGAAAGAGAAAACGAGATGCGTGTTTGAAAGTGCAGACCGAATTACTATGTGCGGAGCTTATCGACGGCTTGCAAATCCCTAGTCGTAGCGCCATCGACAGGAACGACGTTGTGAAATCGACGTCGCGTCGGGTGTTTGCAAGCTCGTCGTTAACGTTTTGCTGTGTTCCAAGTCCTAAGGGCGTTCATATAGAAAGAGCCTGAGATTTCGTAGAGCGACTAAAGACGCGATTATTACGAATTGAATAAGATTTTAACGTACAGAGCTTATTGGAAGTCTGCAAACTTGCATTTCTTTTTTGTATCTCATTTTTGCACACGGAGTTTATCAAATTATAGTGTGTATACTCGCGAATAACGTATCTCGATAAAGGGAAAAATTCTTCCGCAAACTGCAATCGACACTTTTACGGTGGAATTGAAAACTCGAATTGAAAATCTCAAATCGAATTACGTTTGTTCAGAAAGAGTTTGCAAGCTTCCGCGTCTCATATTCTTCTTTTTAGCTACGTCACTGGTGCCTCCTCGATTTTAAAAGAGGAAAAAAAAAAGTATCTACGCCTATGCGGTGACGTTCGTCCACAGGCATCGACATATTTACCATTATATATAGAATCCGGACAGAGGGCTACCGTAAATTTTGTGTTGTACAGCTTGGCGCCTAGTTCTATGTATCGTGACGCATAAGAAAAAAGTTGTTCCACCCTTACGTACTTCCATCTCGACCCGCCCCTCCTCCTTCCCTCTAATCCATTTAAATTTTGGATATTTGTACATACATATACACCTATGAGAAATGTGAGGCTCCTTCGACGAGATTGCGTTGTGATGCCTAAGAGAAGTCGCGAGAGATTCATAGAACAAACATTATCGTGCATAGATTTGTTTCTCCGAGATTCTCTCTCGACAAGATTTACAAAAATATACTTGTCATAAAGTATACATGTGAATTCGAATCCTGTCGAAGGTGCAGATGTTAGACTCGTTGTATACCTTTTCGAGATAAATTAATCGATCCCGGATGGATGAACGATGATACTAAACAGACGATATACCTACTTATGGAATCGTCATGATTAGCTGTTGATCATTGATCAGGCGCGATCAGACATTCGACATAGAGGATTCCGAGTATTATACTGTTCACTCGCGGTACTTTTGGGTGGAACTGTAGAAGACGAGATATGGCGAGGCATTGTACGTTTATTGTCACATATAAATCATTTCTACTACTGTTCCACTATTGTGAAAAGCAAATGCTCGGAAACAACCTGATAACCGCAATGTCGAAAAATATAGGACTCGTAAATGTCTCGAAAATATCTCTTTGTGGCGCATTATTAATATATTTTACAATCTATTTCAGAAATTGGAATGCAAAAATCGAAAATTTTATTGCCTCGCGACTTTTTACGTCACGATTTCATTTTGCATAAATTTTATCAAATCGTAGATAATGTTCGAGACTCATAGTAAATCCAAGTTCAAGTCGTTAAAAAAAAACAAAAATTATTTGCGCGAGTCCTCATAAATGTTAATTAGGGAAGAGGCGCCCTCGGACAAGGAAGTGTCGCACGTCGCCATATGTACGCTGCATGATCAGCAGCCCTTAAATGCCGACAATCAAGGCTAGTGCAACTAATCAAACGATAATAAATAGAGAAAAATGAAGAGAAAAGAAAGCTACTTAATAATTTTAATGAATACTCGTGAATGATCGCCATGGTTTGTGTGTATTGTAAATCGCGATGTGTGTGCGAAGTCTAGTATTGCCAAACTATCGAGGCCGAAAAGACTTTGCAAAAGCAATTTTTGCGAGAATAGAAGTAGACGCGAAGGGTCGTTAGAGAGAACGAGATGATGTGCTCGCTGTCGACTGTAGAGAAAGTACAAAAATATACCGCCTAATGGAGGCTTCGAAAAATTCTCCGTGTTGCTTCGCTGGACGAATTTAAAATATCCTCAACAAAAATTTGTTTAAATTCTGTTTCACTATCTTTTTTTAACAAATCTTTGTAACAAAATAATGGGCAATATTATATACAATATGTAACAAGCATTACATTCGATGAGGTTCCTCCATTTCGCGATAAATGAATGGCCGTTTGTAGTGCAAGAAAAAGTTTGTCGTTAACAATATCGCTTCCATTTACCCCCGAATAAATATATACGCGAGCGATCGAAATACGAATTGTTAAATCCAAGAAGCGTGAGAGGGAGGGAGAGAGAGAGAGAGAGATATAGATAGAGTGAAAGAAAGAAAGAAAGAGAGCGATTGATTGATTAATTGAAATTGAGATGAGCTATACAAAGGGAAGGAGGAGAAAAAAAGAAATAAAGATGGAGCGAATGATATCGAAAGCGAGAGAGTATGTGCGTGTGTAAAAAATCACAATCAATTATTAAATATAATAATGGCAGAAGAAAGTGAGAGGCAAATTAAATGTAAGCATAGGGCAACGGAAAACAAATTATCACAAAGGCAGATACGCAAAACAAGCATGCGAATTATGAAATTAATCGCAACAAAGAAATCTTGGTAGCAGCGCGTAAGGATATCCATAGCTTTTGGTAAAACGTATTATCGCCATTAGGCTAAAGAGAAAAAAAAAAGCATAAAGGCAAAGAAAAGTATACTCATAATCATCGGGCATACACAAAAATACATACATACACATTTACACAACGCAACATATTAAAAGAAACAGGTAGTTCATGCGGAAATAGATATAAGGATTGGGCCCGTGCGAATGCATGAATAAATTCATGCGAGTTACGTACATTCGTCACATAGGTCAATCGACTGTTGATTACCAAACAGAACGCATCAATTTCCGGCAATTTAGAAATTAGATTTAAAAAACGTTAAATTATATTTTCATTGATCCTCATTAAAAAAAAAAAAAAAAATATAACTTTGAAATTTTTATCAGTATTCGAGAATATCGAAATTCTTTTTAATATACATATAGCGAGAGAGAACAAATTGACCTCTTGATGACGAGTGATACTTTTTTCTCCAACAATTTATGATTCCAAACGAGTCTGTGCCCGCTCGAAAGCGTATGTCCGACTGTTTAGAAAGATTGTTTTTTATATCTATTTCATCAAAATGCTCGATATACATTCGATGACAGTCACGGATGTAGTTTGGAGTGCTTGATCGATTCTCGCTTTCGACTCGGAACGGATACGAAAGTAATTTATACTAGATTTTTGGCGATATTCGCACGGAGACCCCCCCCCCCCCCCGCTGCACCGAAAGTATCCACGAAATCGACTAATCAATAATTTGTACCGATGCATTCGATGATGTCAAAAAATAAGTGATAATGTGCGAGCGCTATAATAAAAGTTAACTTTATCTTTTTTGGTCTGCTAAAGAGAACATAATTTGCTAGTGTATCAAAAGGAAAGATAATTAATAAGATATTTCAAAGAGGCCTGATATTGTATATATTATAGTTTCTTTGCATGTACTTATATTGTATAATAGGGATCGAAGAAACATATTACTTCGATATTTGTAATATTTTTATATGTGTAAAGTATTTGCGACTTCTTTTTTCCTTTTATGCAATTAAGTATGAGAATATTGATCAAAATTTATTAGAAGAAAGAGAGAGAGAAAGAGAGACAGAGAGAGAATTCAAATCTCTTTCTTTCTCTTATTGCAATTTTCGAGAGTAATTAAAATTAACTTGGCTTATAAACTCATAATGCATCGTCGATTTCGCGGATAATGTCCAAGTTATCTTTCACGTAACACCTACGAAATAATCATGTTATTAAGATTCTGCGTTTTTTAATATCAGCGAAGCTCGGCCCGAACATTGGGCGGATAAAGTGTTTTCAATAAACTGTTACATTATCTGAAAAATAGTCTTGATATATTTATTATATATTTACTTTTTTTGTTACAATTTTGATAGACAACTTTTAACAGCACATAAAAATTAAGATATTAATTATATATATTATATTATTTGCATATTTGAGAAATTATTTAACAAGAAAAAATAAAGTGTAGTATATATTGGTTTGTTTCATAAAAATATGTGTGTATGTGTTCGCAGTTTGTAATACCGTGAGATAGAAACAAAACTTTTTTCAGAAAAGGTCTTAGTCAACATCTAAAGTGAGAATATAACGTTATTTGAAATATAACACACACATATTTTTATTTCACTGTAAAAGTTTTAACATTCTCCTTCTCAGATTTTTGTTGATAAAAAAACATAATGACAATTTTATAGAATTAATTTCAGCTAGACAGTTTTATGTTAAGCTTAAAAAAAATTTTTAATTATGTAGAGGGAAAGAATGGTTTTGACGACGACGCCGGTGCTACGTCCGCCGATAATACCGAATCCAAGACCGCTGCCATCGTTGATGAGGTTTATCACTTCAACTTGAGCCCATTCCGTATTCAACTGCGAAAGAAAAGATTGCAAAGCCGTTTAAAGACCCGTTCTTAAAAAGCTTTAATAATATTCTCGTATATTTTATTCTCGGATGATTGGACGATACAATGGAATCTAAATTGTCAGAAAAGAGCTCACGTTTACATTGAAATTTTCATTGGAATCAGCGAACATCTATTAATTAAAGAAAATACCAAAGAACAAAAGCAATCTTTCTCTTTCTTCCATTTTAATTTTAATTTTAGATTGATCATCAGCAGTATAACTATTCCAAAAGTACGCTTACCTCTCACGAATATACATAATGCAAACTTTTGAAAGTTTAAAATTTTTATGAGGAAAGAGAGAGAGAGAGAGAGAGAGATTATTTTAAATATGTTAGATAATATTACAGATATATTATTTTAAATATATTTTTTGCCATCTATTTTGTAAGGCAAATACGTTGCTGTAAGAAAGTTTTTTGTAAAGGAAGACAACGCCTCTATATCAGCCTTGCCGTTCCGCAATATACTCAGCTCTTTCGATATAGCATCATTTACGTAAGTCCGGGTTTCAATAGATTTCAATTTCACGAAATCGGTCTTAGTGAGTGAGATTGTTTTCACTCCTAAAATAATTGATTCCGAGGGGTGGATTCCGAGCCAGCGTGCGTTAGGACAAGTCAAACTTTCGTTTTGTCGACAAAGTATCGACGAGCCGAAGCTATAAAAAATTAATATAACATTGCAAAAAATGGAAAGACAGAATATCTTCTAAATAAGAATTACTAATGATTGAGAAATTATAAATCTTACAATATACGTTCTATATTTTAAAACAAAAATGATAAAGAATATACATTCTCCGAGAAAAATTCCGATAAAAAGCGAAAATGATTTCGATTAAATTACCGATAAAGTAACATAATATCCACACCAAAAGGATCCGCGTCTACGATTATATAAACCGGTAGACCTATCTTTTCAGATAGAATATTAACCAGCATTCTGGTATTTATATCCGGATAGCCTTTTCCTGTCACTAGAATACATTTTAATATACGAGGGCAGTCTTCTTCAAGTAATTTTTGAAAAATTGCGTCTTTCTCAATAACCAAGACAAAGTTGGCTTTCGCACGAATTGAAGTTACATTTAAAATAATCTGTGGGATTTGCACGCCTCCGAGTATCGCACAATCGATAACTCGATTGTCGAGTAGTGTGATGGTCATATTTCCTGCTACTAATCCTTTAGGCGTTGCTAATAATCCTGTAAGGACTTTTGGTTATCGATCTCTTTCTCTCATCTTATGCATTTATTATTAAATTATTTGTATAAACAATTTACAATTTTTTTAAATTTCTATAAGATTTATTAAATTTAATAAATTTTTATATAGTTTTCCATAATTAAACAGTAAACACATACAATTTCACAAACTTACTCAAATCCCATGGGGCGCATTCTAATAAATTAGCGACACTATTCATTGCACGATCGATACATCTTTGATGAGGCATCAAACTTTTAGTTATTTCATTCTTCAAATCGTAATAAAACGATCGTTTCGTCTTGGTTGTATTTGTTAGCAACAAACGATGAGCCTCGGACATTATCATCACCATTAGAATAAATTTATTTCTGCTACTTTTTACCGCGAAATTGACAATTATCTTTTTCAAAATTTGAAAATTACTTTCTTTTCTCGTGTCCTGCTCATCGGCAAAGTCAAACATAGAATCGTTGAATACTGTATTTGGTCGAAGACTGGTTGAGCATACTATGCAAACATTTTCTTTCCGTAAATTCGATTCTATAGCAATGTTTCGGCCATTATAGTATGATATGTACGGTGGCTGTCCAACAGATATCTGCTTTATAATTTTCAACGTAACAGCTTCGATGCGCGCGATCAAATCCATTCTAAGTCACATGCGAGAAATGTTAGATATGATGTGTTAAATTTAAGTTTATATTTGCAAGTATATATAATAATAGCAGCTGAGAAGATAATTCACCTGAATTCTTTATTGTCGACTATCGGTATATCGAAACGTATTTCCTCAATACTCATATATTTCTTGGTAACTGATGTAATTGTTTGCCCCCGAAATATTTCATTTGCATTTTGCATTTTATCTAAATTAAAATAAATATTCTCTTTACCTAAATTAAACAAATAAAATAATGATACTTTTATATTATTTAGAATAAATCATTCAAGTCTTTTGTATAGGAATGCTGTTTGGAAAAATAAATAATAAAAAAATGGAAAAGACATAATTGTATCAAATTGTTATTTATCTAATATCTTTTGGATCGTAATATCTTTTAGAGAATCATTAAATCTAATTTTAGTTCTTCTTTCTCTTAACAGATGACTTTAGCTTGCACAAAACACGACTTTGTACAGTGATCGTTCCTATCGGTACAACTAGGAAAAAATAATCAATTTTTCTTATAAATTATAGTAATAATAATAATATATTATTATTGTAATGTGCATTCGCTATTCAACTATTTAAAACAAATATTTCAAAACTGCATTTTCTGTAGCTTTATAGGCTACAATTTTACATAAACGTATATACACATAAAAATCCATAAAATTTCTAACTTTTAAGAGCCGCTATTTTCGTGAATTTAATGTCATAAACGGTTTACAAAGTTTCTTTGTAATAAAATAACAAGACAAAACACAAGGAGAAAACAAAGTAAGTCTACAAAAAGTGATTCGTATTTGAAAAACGTTCAAATGTTATCATAATGTAATTAATAAAAAATATGCACTCGTTTTATAAAGCAAGATAATAAAGCACGCATTTATTCATTTAAATTCAATTTGTATTATTGTATTTATATCTGTGTGTGTATATAAATATATATGTATATATAAGTTACAAAATACCTTTACGCGAAATAAAATCATTCAGTAATTTAATTAATTCCACTGATAAAAAATAAATTCATTATCGGACATTTGATTTTTACTCAGGCTCGTTTTTGTTTTGCATTATATGTATAAAAGGCATTTATTTAATAGTATTTGTATAAAGTAATCATCAAATTTATAAATATCGGCAAATCTAGCATAAGAGAGCGATATGAAAAACTGTGACACTGGAAAAAAAAGAATACATTATTACAGCCAGAGACGAAAGAGGAGGATTCGGATTCGCTTTTCACTCATTCGTCGTTGAATATTACGAGACCGAGTTAAAAGGCGCGATGGCAGATAAAAATCTAGTACCTATCCGAGGCCGACATTCTCACAGCAATAAACATATTAAGTCCCGACTCGTGAGGTAAAGTATTGGCTACAGGGACTCGTTCGAGCTCGTAGCCGAGTAGACATTAATTTTTCTCTCGATCACCGACATTCATATCAAAGTGGCGAATCTCAAGAGAGCCCGGACACCCCGCTGCGTATTTGTGAGCACCGACCATTGAATGGCGCGCTACTGTACGCGTTAAAGACACTTCAGGGACTTATTGTGAGTACGAAATACACCCCTTACTGCAAAACGTTCGATTGTAACGAAATTCAGCGAATTCGCCGTCATTTTGCTGGATAGCCGCATAAGAAAACGATCGTGGCAATTAGCCACAATTTCTGATTTATTTCGAAGATTCATATTTTTGTAATCTATGAGATCTTTGTAATCACAAAGATAATTATATTTGTAAAAATTTAATACTTCTCTTCATACGTGAATATATACATATATAATATTAATATTCGGTCTACGTTATGTTTATAATTAAAAGGCTGGAATATGTTTGAAAAGTATTCATGTGAAAAATCGATTTAGACGAAAAGCTATGAAGAAAATGGAAATAATGAGCATTGGAAATAGAGCCCTATCCCATATAAATTTCCCTAGCCTATGACGTGCGCCGATACAAACGTTTGTGCAAATGGGGAACAATGAATACTAACGAGCGACTATGAGATGACATCCAAAATATTTCGAGACCTACAAATAATTTGACGAAAATAATTTGGCTAGCTTGAAAACATTTATAATAATATTGCAAAAATATAGTTTTAGTTAGGTTAAAGAATGTATGCAAATTAGCATTGATAAGCGTCAGCCATATACGCGAACAAAAGTGAAATACCATCTTAAAGTTCCGGCCTCTTAGATGCTCATAACGAGAATATTCATGAAAAAATAATAGAAGGCGGCAAGCATGCTCGCACTCGGTTTCGCATTAAAGACACTTCAAGGTTGCGCTGTTACAAAAGGGGATAGTGTTACATTGTGCAACGAGCACAGTGGAGAAACACCCCTAAGAATGCCCTCGCCAGCCCTCAAATAGCCCGTATATAACCAACACGCGTCGTCGGCATGTTTTCAAAATGTCAGTTGGAGACACGACGAAAGATTATGAAAAATATATAATTATAATAAACATAAACCTTTGGACAAACGCCAGACTGATAAATAGAATAATATAAAAATAATTTTGCCTGCTTTTAATAACAATAATAAAAAAAAAAAAAAACGATGGACACAGGAGTGTTTCATCATGTATGATGGGAGCATTGAAACTATCCGTACATACGATGTCAAAAATTCCTTGACTTTCGATATATCGATCGATACAAATGTATAGGAGAAAGGAGAGACATGAGGGGTGAAATAGTAGATGGGCAAATATAAAATTCCAAAAATTTCAATACTGGTAATCTTCTCGATTCTAAATGCTCTTCCCGATTTGAATTTGGATGAAATCAAATATTCGGGCTAAACTGTCGATTGATGTGGCAAATACCTGTCGCATGTCAACTAGGTTCTTTTTACTGGAGGTCAGGGATTTTCGAAATACGATATGTCAAGCATTCGAGTGTAAGATGCCATGAATGTGCAGTGAATCGATGTTTGAAAAACTCTAGTCTATTCAGAAAATTGTAACAGCCGAGGTTTTTGATCAAGACGCCGGGAGAGATCGAATCTCTTTTTTCATGTGCTTCTTCATGTGTACAAGGCGATTTTTGAAGATAACATCGAATTTGTCCAAACAGTAGGGATCGCGGCTGCGAAGCAGTGGGGATTCGCTAACGTACAAATTTGGAAGCATAGCAATGAAAGTCAGAAGGGTGACTGCAAGTCAGATGTATTCTTCTCCAATATTTAACATATTTACATTATTTGAAAATTAGTAAAAAGAACTTTCTCTCTTACAGACTTTCACATTTATTTTAATCTTACCGAGCGTGCGCAGACCAGAACAAAATCTTAAATTTTACAGATTGGAGGAAATTTTCCAATTTTCCTAACACAGATGCGAACGATCGATTGATCGTTCCAAGCGCACTCGAAAAGGCTACTTGAATGCGCCGCGGTTTTCGAGGGATCAAACGACGTTATTGTAGCGACCGCTATTTCACACACTATAAAGAGGGTTTGACATGCGGTAAGTACTTGACTTAAATGTGAGCTTGGGAAAGTCTTTCACTAAAACGACTGTCATCGCGCGACACTATTTAAATAATCCATCCGATCAAGAATTTTGATTTGGCATCCGTTTTCTCTAAACTACATCTTTCGAAAACCACGCGCGAATAAAGTGTCTCGAAATTACGTTTTTCTCAGCAAGACACGAATCAATTAAAATCCTTTGAAAAAATGTGCCAATTTCAAGGCAATCGACGCATAAAGAAAATGATTTTATGCAAAAATATTACATGCCAATTTGACATTAATAATCACTTAAAACGAGCACTTTCATTTCGCTTAAATTCAGCGTTCCTTTAATAACGGACTGGCTAAATAAGATCTTTACGTTCACTCGATGCGACGCTTTATTACACGTTAAATGTTTTCACAATCATTCTGAAAAGAAAAAAAAAAGAACGTAGCATCTCAAGGATATCGATGGATAAAGAAAATAACGGGAGAGTGTATCATAAAAAATTAAATGACTTGACAATAACGTGCTTTAAGCGATGGAAGCTGTCCAAACTGTGTTCGTGTGTCCCTGGACATGCTAAGTATAGGTCAGTTATACGAGAGAAAGTGGTTCGATCAACCATTTAACCGCCAATCAAATAGAAATAAAAAGGATCATTATTTTACATTAATTTGATAGAAGATCGCTTATGGCTCTCTTTAAGTACGATAATTTTGTAAAAATTCTACAAATGGATGAAATAATACATATTCTACAATAAGTTTTACATATATTCTCAAAATAATATCTTAATAATATCGAAATGATAATGCTATAAATAAAAGAGATACCCGCTTTACGTTCGGCTTCCGTCGTCTACGATCAGTCTACACGCTAATAGAGTATTTAACTCTCTTGCCGCATTTGTAATGGCAAAGTAATTAGCTATTTACGTTCGGTTCAGAAATTATTCTTACACGCGCAAATTATTGCAATCCCCATTTTGCCGTACGCAAACTACTGCGACGTTGAATTTTGCAGTTTTTATATGCATCGTACTTAAGCACATTATACGCAGATTATGCTTAATTAATTATTGCGACTGATAAAAAGACATATCGACAAGCACGCGCGTGCAAATTATGCGCACATCTATATTTATTATAGGATAATAAATATGGCGAAAAAAGGCGCAACATAATTAATGGGATTTAAAAGAGAATTTAAAATGCGCTTATTTGAAAATTTTTGAGTTCATGTAATTTCTTTGCGAGTTTATAATGATTTATTCTCCCAATGCACGGTAATGCGATAATTCGCGTGTAATTATATATAAAAAAAGACGAGATTATACAACGCTTCGACATAAAAGTATAGATGAAAATAGGTGTAAAAGCGCATGATTGTGCATACCGTGCGCGCGAGCTAATAAATGTTCGGCGTATGCCACATGATGAGGCAGTTTGCAGCTGCCAGCTTTTTTCCGCGCACAGAATTTTTCGCGATTACCAGGCGAGCAGATGCGTTCTCGAAGAATGTCCGATTCGTTCGTGATCTCTTCGGCCTTGCGTGATCCTCGCGAGATTATATCTATTCTTATCGTCCACCATTCGGCCAGATTACACCGCGCTTCTCTTTCCATTCCTACGTTCGCGAAATTATTCATCTTGTAAGCGCTACACGATATCGCACAAATGCTATTTTTCTCTTCTTTTCTTTAATTCGCGGTGTGTAATTCGTTACTAGTAAGATTTTATGCGGAATATTTGAAAAGCATTTTACAACTACAAACCTATAGGATAAACTAAATTATTGATATCATCTCGATAACGAAATTCGGAATTGCCAATAATTAAGAGCAACGCAAACGCCATTGGGCCGCGATCGCTCGATCTGTAAGGGCGGTCTTTATCGTGACCTAAGAAGGGATTAACGGTGAGGGATAAAGAGCTATCGGTGTCCGATCCCTGGGATCACTAGCACCTTGATAACGAGCGTACGTTCCGATAAACCAGCAAAGTATCCGAATTCTCGATTGTCCTTAATGACACGACGATAATAAAACAGCAATCTTTTGTCACACGTAAGACTGTAGATCATTTCTATTTAAATTTAACATTCTACGAAAAATATAGCGATATCTATCTATCTATCCTCTATACCTAAATTTATTTAAAATTTAAAACTAAATTATAGAAACTTTGAAAATAATCGGAGATAAACGGTGAAATGAGAAAGCGAGGATGAATTTGTTGGTGATGAGCTGTCGGATTGCGCGCGCGATCGCCGAGATTTGTTGGCTTTTCAAGAGTACGCTCTTGTTGGAGAATTGCATTGTTCATAAACATATGTTCTCGTAGGCGTGCACGAAGAAGTAAACGAGAGGATGCGAGCGACATAGAAAAAACGGATGAACAACAGCGGTGGTCTGGCAGCTAGTCTGGCATCACCTGGACGAGCACGCGCCTTTTGCTTCAGCAGG